CATCTTGAGAAAGCATGTTACAGGGTACCGCCCAATAGCCTATTGGCTGAACTATTTGCTCTGAGCTCTTGTTTTCTTTAGCTATGGTGGGTTTTGTGGTTGCACTTCTGACCATCTTTCTCTCTCTTTTTAAGATAGCATCCTTGTTGCTTTTCTTTGGGTCTTCTTCTTTATCTTTTATTTTAATTGTAGTCAAATTTTGTTTCATGTGGTATTAATTGTTGTATTGAAATTTAAAATTCTTTTTTGCTCAGATTGCTGAAGAAGAGAAGGACCTTGGGCCGCATGATCACTTGATTCGTGTTTACCACTTCACGAAAGAAACTACTCAAAATCAGCTGGTATCGAAGATTAATTTGTTCTACAATTTTTTTTTTGGTCAAGTTTAAGTTCACTTCCCTTTATTTTCTCTCCTCATTTGGTAAGAATGTTAAGCAGGTGTCTTCGTTTTCTTTCCCCTTCTTAATGTGTGCTTTGATCAGCGAGTGCAGAACTTTGGGGAACCGTTTTTGCTGGTCATCCATGAGGGTGAAACATTAGCTGGAGTGAAAATGCGCATACAAAAAAAACTGCAAGTTCCAGATGATGCATTCTCCATGGTCTACATCTTGTCTCTATGCCTTCTTTACCACCATTATTGTGGTAGAGGTTCCTATACAGTATATAGTGTTTATGCTTACCAAACGCTGAAACAAAAATGTGAAAATGCTTAAACAGTGGAAGTTTGCATTTCTTTCATTGGGTCACCCAGAGTATCTCGAGGATTCTGAAATTTTATCAAAACGTTTTCAGGTGCATCTCTCTCTCTCTCTCTCTCACACACACCCACCCACCCACACGGGCACCACCCCCCCAACCCCACCCCCCCGCCCCTTCCCTTCCCAACCCCAACACGCACACAACACCCATGACCAATAATAGATAAGTCATGTTGTCACGAACTGAATCGGATGTCTCAACAGAGGAGTGATGTTTATGGGGAACAGTACCTTGGATTGGAGCACTCCGATGCTCCCAAGAGGTCTTATGTGGTGAATCAGGTGAATTTCTGTACTTAACATGTTTCCTTTAAAAATTCTCTGTGGATAAGGTGATATTGCTGTGTAAGCCAATTTATGCCTGGTTAAAATTCTCCTGGGTGCTTGTCTTTCCATGTTGTGCATCATGATTTATTTCCGGACTTGCAGAACCGTCACACTCATGAGAAGCCTGTTAAAACGCGCAACTAAGAAGAGCTGAGTGTTTAACGGGACCTTCCATTTAAGGGACTACTTCATGATAATGACCTTGGATTGGAGCAGTACCTTTCATCAGAGTTTGAAAATTGAATAATTCCCGCTTATAAACCTTTTGATGATTCGTGTTGGTCCGCTTAACTGTCTGCAAATGATAACCTATGTCTCCATTGTGATTGAAGTATTTCTTTTTCACTTTGAAGTTGAGATCGAGGATGTTCCTTTATCCATGTACTGCGTTAACACTCCTTATGATGCAATTCGCCGATATTACTTTACTTCAGAGAAGAATGTTCCGTTTGGGCAAAAAGGGAACAATGTTGGGTGATGTTAAATCTGTAATGTTATTTTAAATTTTGAGATCTTGTTAGTAAAATTTTGTAACTGGCATCCTGTTCGACAGATGTGTTGATGATAATATACCAACAATGTAGCAACTTACAAACATCACATGAAATGATAAGTTATCATTTTTTCTAGAAATTTATGTCAAAACAAAAATTTATCGGTGAAATTAGGAACTTATCAGTGAAACTATGATATTACTACTATAGATCCGCTTATAAGGTAGTATAAGTCACAAAGAGAGTAAGAATGTACAAACTTCAAGTAGAATGGAACTTATCTTTTTTTTTTTTTATAGAAATTTACCATAGAAAACGAAAACTTGTCGGTGTAATTAAAAACTTACAATTAAATATTAACTTACCAATATAAGATCATTTACTAGTTGGTAAGTTGCCACTAACGTAAGGAATTTGCTATATTAAAAAAATGTCGAACTTGGTATCTATCAATGACATAAGCTACTTACGAAATTAACCTTGTTTTAGTGTATTAAATAAAAAACAATTTGAGGAATTTACCAATGCCAACTTCAATAGTATTATCAAACATCTAAAATAAATCATTGGAAGTAGAATTTCTTACCGTTGTAGTAAAGTACTATTCAAATTAGTAACTAACCATACTAGTGTAGGTTCTCTTTTTGGGTAAGTTATTGATCAAGTAAGTAAATTACCAATGTCTAAATTCTAAGTCGATAGAAGATAATCAAGCTCTTAAGCAATTTGCCATTGTTAATTTCCTCACTTTGTTGATACATTGCTTCCCCAAAAGCGAGCATGTATTGGTAAGTCACTAATTCCACAAGTAAGTTACTAATTCGTGATGAGTTATCAAGTTGTTTAGAAATTTGCCATGGGTGTTAAATTTTTACCACTAAAGTTAGTAACTTTCATATTTACTAAATCTTAGCGGTGCCAATAGTAAGTTACCACTGAAATTAATAACTCACGAACATAATCGCGCTTCCAAGGTAGTTAAGTTACCACCAAAGTGAGAATTTACCATCCGACTTACAACATCAGTGTAAAAATAACTTGTGAAGCTTTCATAAATTTACTACTCAAAACTAAATATTAGCCGTGTGAATAGCAAGTCCTCACTAAACTTAAAATTTTCCAAAATAGCTCCGTTTAAGGTAGTAATAGTAAATTTTCTCCAGAGTAATTAGCTTATTATCCGACTTACGACGTCAAAATAATAGTTAACTATGAGACTTTGTATAAATTTTCGTAACTCAAAGCCAAATCTTAGCATTGTAAGGACTAAGTTATATTAATAACTTACATGATAAGGACACCACAAGTGCCATAACTTTTATACAGCACTCACTTGAGTGTCATAACTTTTTTTTCGACCACTTCAATGCCATAACTTTTGAAAACATTCATTTGAGTGCCATAACCTTCAATTGATCACTTTAGTGTCAAAATTTTTAAAAATGTTTACCCAAGTGCCGGAAATCCGACGTGGCATAGCACTTGTGGTGAATGTTTTTAAAAAGTTATGGCACTGAAGTGATCAATTAAAAAGTTATATGGCACTTAAGTGATTAAAAAAAAATTATGACACTCAAGTGAGCGCTGTATATAAGTTATGGCACTCAAGTGATCGAAAAAAAAGTTATAACACTCAAGTGAACGCCGTATAAAAGTTATGGCACTTGTGGTGTTATTTTCCTAATAACTTACTGTAATAGTTCCAGTTTTAAGGTAGTAAAAGTAAGTCTTCACCAGAGTAATTGATTTATCGTCAAACTTACGACGTCAAAGCAGGAAGTAACTCGCGTGTGTTTACTACTATCACTGAGTGTTTGTGAGTTTCTTCTTTGCTTGTGGATTTGGTGTCCGGACAGGTGTTTCTTAGTCTTCAGCATGCAGTTGAGCTCCTCTTTCCTTACTGTGCTCTTTGCTGTATTTTGTTTTGGCCATATAACATGCAGAAAAAGTAATTTATTAATAATAACACAATAACCTCAGGATTAAGAAATATCATTCAAAGCAGTCTCACTAAGCCAGAACTCATAGGGACTAGTTCATGGCTACAAGGAGATTGTGAGAATGTTGTTAATGGACCTGTCACGCGAAGGAAAGAGCCATACCATCATCCATAAATTCACTTAACTTTCCATGATACTACTTAATATTTTGCGAAGGCTAATTCCTGGTTGAAAAGCATACGAATTGGGAAAGGGATATATGCATTGTCTTCATAAATTATGAGCACATTTGACAGGTTACTAGAAAAGTATTTTGGAGGATTCTGGAGAAGAAAGGAGTACACATTTTTCATAGACATTATAAAAGGTCATGCATAACAAAGTTGTGAGTTTATTGAGGATACATCGAAGAGAAATCAAGGTTTCTCGTATAGCCTAGGATTAACCCAAGTTTTCAGCCTTAAGTCCTTATCCTTTTGCTTTCAAGCTAATTGGGAATATTCAAGATGATACCCTTGGCATATGCATTTTGCAGATGATGTTTGTAGACGAAAGCTGAAAATCAACCAGGAGTGAATGTAAAGCTCACATTGTAGTGGGAAACGTTGGAACACAAGGATTTTCGTTCAATTAAGTCCAAAAAAGTTGTATATGGACCATGGAGTATAAGATTAATATAGGCAGCAGGCCGAATGTCACAATGTAGGATGGAGAAATCATGGAGATCTTAACCACAAACACAAGTGGGATGGAGAAAGTAGAGGAGTTTGTTCTTTGTTTTACATGACCATTGAATGCTACTTAAAGGTTAAGTGATTCTAATAAAATTGGTAGTCAAACACCGACACATGCTCAAAATGAGTGTAGCGGATGTAAGAGTGTTTTATTGATTGTGTGGGCATATAAGAAAAGCCATAACGGAGTTGTGGTGAATATGGCTTTTCTCTGTACTTAACGCAAGTGCTTTAGAAATTCTGTGTGGACAAGGTGATATTGCTGTTTAAGCCATTTTATGCTTGGTTTAAATTCTTGTCAGTTGCTTGTCTTTCCATGTGGTGCATCGTGACTTATTTCCCAATTTGCAGCACCGTCACACGCATGAGAAGCCTATAAAAATATACAACTAAGAAGAAGTCAGGATCTGACAGGACCTTCCATTTAAGGGACTACTTTATAATGATGTGGAGGTTGAGAACGCTTGTGGCATCATAACTGTTGGCCCCAGTGACCATTGTAGGCCAAATTATTCTTTAGCACGGTGACAATTGTACGTGTTGGCCAAAGGATTCTTTAATGTTCAAAATCAGGCTCTTTTTGTGTTCCTTTCGTGACCCAAAACAATGGGGCGTGTGTTTGTTTGGTTTTGATTTTAAAGAATGATGATGTTTGCAATTTTTTCATTTGAATTTTTGGGAACCATTGTGTGTTCTTCATTGTAAAGACTGATGAATGAGTCTTTTTTGTTTCGACTGATTGGATAATGGGGAAGCAAGCGACGGAAGAGCAAAGTTTCAATTTGTGAAAATACACATGGAAGATTTCCAACTTCACTAGCTTGACTCAAAAGAAGTACTATTCCGAAGTGTTCATGCTCAGCGACAATGCCTGGTAATCATTGAATTCAATTTTTGGCAAGCGTAATGATCAAACCGCGGCATGTTCTTGTCTTTTTGTTTCCTTTACTTGTTGAATTTCCTAAAAACTATCCGTTCTCTTGTATGGTACGGTTGATGTGAGCAGGCGAATACTCATCTTCCCCAAGGGGAACAATACAGAGCATTTGTCCATATACTTGGACGTCGCCGATTCCGAGAGGCTACCATCCGGGTGGAGCAGAAATGCCCATTTCAAGTTGATTCTGGTCGATCAGAACAATTATGGCAATTCTAGGATTAAGGGTATGCCGATTGCGACTCAGATTTTGTCTGGTTTTTCTGTCTGCTGTTGGAATCTAATTTTGAGATATGGTACTTTAAGGGAATGAGAAACCTTATTTCATATTTGCTACTGAAGGCCTCTTTCATGTCTTGATAGAATTTAGGCACACATATATCCTCGCAATTGATGGTATTCGTATTAATAAAGTCTGCACTCATAAATTTGGGGCAATGGCAAATTTGATTCGTAATGAGAGAAATCTTGCTTATGCTAATATCTTACACAATTGTGATTGATGTGAAATACATCCACCATCATTCATCTTGTGTGAAATATTCCATTTTATATGTGGTGTACATTGGCAAAGACCCTAGTTGGGTCAGCTATGCGGATCTTTTGTCAATTCTATCAATAAGTCTCTTTCAGAAAGAATACTGAAGGATTATTTGACTTCTCTTGTTGTACTAAGTATGACTTTAGGAATTCTTCTATGTTTTGTGCCAATTCCAAACACACGTGCACTTTTATGCACTCCAAAGCATCTGAGGTGACGATATGAATACTCGGCTTCAAAAGTTTAGATGGAATGCGTGAACATCTGGACAATTTAGAAGTATTGGAAGAAGTGGAGATTCCCCATGTCATTACTGTTTGTGGGACAAATTGCAGGATTTTAGGTACCATGTCAAATGAACATAGAATTGTTTGTGTAGTTTGGATTTTTTTCATTTCAGCTAATTAGACCAAGTTTCTGATGAAGCAAACTGGGAGAGCATGTTTAGGCCTTGTTGCAATGCTTTCTCCAAACATGCTATCACTATGTTCTTGTGGTTCTGGTGTGCCATGTTTCTGATCCCAAGCATAGTAGTCTTTTCATTCGTTGAACCTAATGCAGTGAAATAAGGTGTCTTTAACCTGTTACCCCTTTTTACTGAAGTACCATCTGAACACAATGCAGGAAAAGAACATAATTTCACTGCAAGAGAGAGTGTCTGTGGCTTCACATCCTTTATTCCATTGAGCGAAGTCCGTGACAGCCGTAATGGGTATTTAGTGAACGACACTTTGATGGTTGTAGCTGAGATTTTGGCCCCCCAAAACACAGCTGAAAATACTCGGTTGGCTGAACCTCCCGCAAAGATTCCTCAGGCAACACTAACAGATACATTCAACACGTATTTCTCAAATCTTGAGGAAATCATTCACGCAGCTCAGAGTTCTCCTGCCAGGGGAGGGTCAAACGTGAGCAATCAAAAATGTGTCCTTTTGACTTCTGAGGCTCCAACCTTGGAAGAAGTAGAGAAGGCTAAGCTGTCTCTGAAGGAGTGCCTTTCCGATATCTTCAACCTAAATGTAAAGGACAAATTGGCTGAAGCAGTGTCGACGTTAAGCATAGCCAAAAGCGGGTTATCACAGGACCAGCAAAAGTCAGTCAAGGCCTTTTGGGCCAACTTCGATGAGTTCACGTCGAACTTTTTGACCTTCGAGCGGGACAATGTCGAATTAGAGTTGCAGAAGTATCTGAAGGATCAAATGTTTTGCAGGTTGAAGAAGAATCATGAGAGTCACATCTTGTATAAGGAGTTGTTTGGTGACCTAACTGAAGAGGAGGAAGAGCTCAACAAAAAACTTGAGGAAGTGAAGTCCAGAAGAGAAAAGCTCATTTCGGACTGGGAGATTTTGATGGTCGAGTCGGAAGAAGCGAAATCTGGGTACAAGGATCAAGAGAAAAAAGTAGACGAGGCCGAGGAGAAGAAGAGAATAGCCGAGGAAAGAATGTCTAGATCAACCATTGCTTGGTCAAATCTGAAGACGCTATTCGGTTGAAAACTTTTGGCTTGGGTCAGAACTGGCTATGAGGACACTGTTCAAACGGATCTCATATGTGAGTACAACTGTTTTTGTGTGAATTCTCTTGCTAGTAAGTGCTTTCGAGTGGTGAAATCCCATGGCTTTGTGATACTGTCACCTACTGATTATTTTGTACGGAGTTACCACATCTGCTGTGCTCTTATACACTTCGAATTTTACATTGTGTTTTTCTTTCTGTTATTTCGTCAGAGATTTGAAGGTAGAACCATTCTTGCGTGTAAGCCTATCGATCCTTCGCGTTGGTCCGATTAATTGTCCGCAAATGATAACCTGCGGCTTCATTGTGATTGAAGTAGTATTTCTGTCACTTTGAAGTTGAGACAGAATGTTTTTCTGATCCATGTACATGTACTGCAGAAAGATTTCAAGAGGATGATTTTGGACATTAACACACACTCTTCTACCACAATCATTTTACTCGGTGTCCTTATGATGCAATTCACTGTTATCACTTTGATTCAGAGAACAATGTTCCGTTGGGGCAAAAAGGGAACAACTTTCGGGGATGGCAATTCTGTAACGTTGTTAGTAAATTTTAAATCTTAGTAGTCAAATTGTGTGACAGGCAACCTATTTGACAGATGCGTAGATGGTTATTTACTAACAATGTTAACAACCCACGAACATCACATGAAATAAAAATTTATCAATTTCTTATAAACTTACCGCTCAAAACAAAAGTTTAGCGGTGAGAATAGTAATTTACCGGTGAAATTAAGATCTCACTACTATAGGTCCGCTTATAAGTTAGTAAGTTATAAATAGAGTTGAAGAGGTACAAAGTTCAAGTAACATTGAACTTATCTGCTTATATAGTGTTAGAGAGGAAAAGTTGATTTATTATTCAGCAAAATAACGTATTTATACAATGGTAACCCAATAAACCCTAAGAGTTCTAAAGATCACTTTGCCCTTGATACTTCTAACACTCCCCCTCAAGCTGGAGCATAGATATTAATCATGCCCAGCTTGTTACAAATATATTCTATCCTCCCGCTACCCAAAGATTTAGTAAAAATGTCTGCAAGTTGTTCACCAGTTCTAACATGACTAGGAAGAATCATTCCACTTTGCAGCTTCTCTCGAATAAAATGACAATCAACTTCAATGTGTTTTGTTCTCTCATGAAACACCGGGTTAGATGCTATATGTACTGCAGCCTTATTATCACACCATAGAGACATAGGAATTGAAACTTTCAAGCCTAACTCAGTCAACAGCTGCTGAATCCACACTAATTCACATGTTGCTTGTGCCATGGCTCTATACTCTGATTCAGCACTAGAGCGGGCAACAACACTCTGTTTCTTACTCTTCCATGACACTAGATTTCCTCCAACCAATGTACAGTAGCCAGTAGTAGATCTCCTATCATCTGGAGACCATGCCCAATCAGCATCAGAAAATCCTTCAACTCTACTATGACCATGATTTTGATAAATAATGCCTTTCCCTGGAGTCTTCTTCAAGTACCTTAAAATTCGAATTACTGCATCCCAGTGAGAAGTACGAGGAGAAGACAGAAATTGGCTGACCACACTAATTGGAAAGTCAATGTCTGGTCGAGTAACTGTGAGATAATTTAGTTTGCCTACCAATCTTCTATCTCTCAGGATTATCGAATAGCTCTCCTCCTTCGGCAACCAGTTTAACTCCTTGTTCCATGGGTGAATCAAGAGGCTTGGATCCTAACATGCCTGTCTCAATGAGTAAATCCAAGACATATTTTCGTTGTGACAGAACAATACCCTTCTGTGACTGTGCCACCTCAATTCCTAAGAAATACTTCAATTTTCCTAGGTCCTTAGTCTGAAACTGTTTCTGATGATAGATCTTTAGTTCATCTATACCAACTAAATCATCTCCCGTGATAATAATATCATCCACATAGACAATCAAGAATAATTTGCCTTTCCTTGACTGTCTATAAAAGAAAGAGTGATCATTGTCACATCTAGACAGTCCAAAAGAAAGTACAGCTTCAGAAAATCTTCCAAATCATGCCCGAGGAGACTGCTTCAAACCATACAAAGATCTTTTTAATTTGCAAACCATTCCTCCAGACTCCCCCTGAGCAACAAACGCTGGAGGTTGCTCCATATAAACTTCTTCATGTAGAGTACCGTGCAAAAAGGCATTCTTAACATCAAGCTAAAATAAAGGCCAATGATAGGTGGCAGCAAGAGATATCAAAATACGAACAGAAGTAAGCTTGGCAACAGGAGAGAAAGTATCCAGATAGTCAATCCCATACATCTGAGCATACCCTTTCGCAACAAGTCTCGCTTTTAAGCGAGCAAGAGAACCATCGGGATTAACTTTGACAGCATACACCCATCTACAACCAATAGCAGTTTTGCCTGAAGGAAGAGGTACCAAGTCCCAAGTTTGATTTACCTGTAGAGCTTTTAACTCTTCTTCCATTGCTGTCCTCCACCCAGAAATTTGTAATGCCTCAGATACAGACTTGGGAATAGGATATTGGTCAACAGTAGATAAAAATGATCGAAAAGAAGGAGACACAGAAGAGTATGAAATAAAATTTGCGATAGAATGTTGTGTACAGGCACGTGTACCTTTGCGATGAGCTATTGGAAGATCAAGATCTGACACATGAGGAGAATCGACTAATGGTGGATCTGGCACGGAAGATGACGCAGTCGTGACAAGAGGAAGGGGGGGAGTATGAACCCGAGGACACCGAGTATAAACCTATAGAGGAGGTGGTTCCTGTGTAGACGCAGGTGAAATAGCTGGAGTAGTTGACCGAATTGTAGTCACATGTAATTCTTCATCCAACTCAGACACAGAAATTGGAACATCATGATATGGAGTGGATTCGAAGAATGAGACATCAGCACTTATGAAGTATCTGTTCAGTAAGGGAGAATAACAATGATAACCCTTTTGAGTACGGAAGTAACCAAGAAACATACACTTGATAGCCTTGGGATCAAGTTTGGATACTCCAGGTCGATGATCATGAACAAAACAGACACAACCAAATACACGAGTTGGTAAGGCAAATAGTGGCTAATTTGGAAACAAAGTAGAAAATGGAATACCACCTCGTAGAACAGAGGAAGGCATGCGATTAATGAGATAGCATGCAGTCAAAACAGCATCAGACCAAAAGACTTTAGAGACTTTCATCTCAAATAACATAGATCTAGTAACTTCCAACAAATGTCTATTCTTTCTCTCAGCAACACCATTCTGCTGTGGTGTATCAGGACATGAAGATTCATGAATCATACCATGCTGTGTCATAAAATCAGAAAAAGGTGCAGAAAAGTACTCCTTAGCGTTATCAGAACGCAACACTTTAACATGCACACCAGACTGAGTAAAGATTTCAGATATAAATGCGCGAAATATAGAAAACAACTCAGAATGATTTTTCATTAGATATAACCAAGTAACTCTGGAATAGTCATCAACAAAAGTAACGAAATATCTAAAACCCAACTTGGAAGTCACATGACATGGACCCCAAACATCTGAATGAACTAACAAAAATGGAGACTCTGTTCGTTTAATGACTCGAGACGGATAACTAACACGATGTAATTTGCCAAGTTGGCATGACTCACACTCTAAACTAGAAATAGATTTAAAACTGGAATTCAATCTCTGAAGACTGTGTAGAGAAGGATGACCAAGACGACAATGGATCTTATGTAGAGAAGTAACACCAGAACATGCAAAGGAAGTTGAGTCTTCGAGCACATACAGTCCCCCTTCCTCACGTCCTTTACCAATTGTCCTCTTCGTAGCCAGATCCTGGAAGATACAAGAATCAGGATAGAATGTTACTGAACACTGAAAGGTTTTAGTTAACTTACTGACTGACATGAGATTAAAAGGAAATTGTGGAAGATAAAGCACTGAGGTCAAAGGCAATGAAGGAGTTGGATGAACTGTGCCAACTCCCTTAACATGTGTAGATGAACCATTAGCTAAAGTAACGGTGGACGATGATGGAGTAAGAGAGGAAAATATATCTGAAAGACCTGACATGTGATCAGATGCCCCTGAATCAATGACCCAAGGGTGAGAACTAGCTGAAACGCATGCGGTAGCATTACACGTGCGGACTAGAGTAGCAAGTGGAAGACGAAGTAGGTAGTGAAATCTGAGACTGGTTGTACCGTGCAAATTCCTCATCAGACATAACCACTACATTGCCTTGTGAAGGCTGTGGTAGGGACAAAGAGTCAGTGCCAGATGCAGCATTTGCAAACTGTTGTTGCTGTGTCTCGGTCTACCATGTAACTTGTAGCAAAATTTCTGAATATGGCCAGGTTTTCCACAATAATGACAAGTTCGAATAGTCCCTGAGCTCTCAGCAGTAGTTTGGGACGATCCATAAAGCTGCCTTTGTCCTTGGCCTCTTCCTATTCCTGTACTTCGACCACCACGGCCACCACGACCATTATACCCTCCACGATTTCCTTCGTCACCCCTACCTCCACCAGTTCGATATTGAGAAACAAGAGCTGAATTATCAACCACAGTTGTGGTGCTCTAAGAAGAACCATGGGATGCTCGAAGAACTCGAGCATATGTATCCCTAAGTGACGCAATAGTCTCTCCTCCAAGAATCTGAGACCTAACAGTATCATAGGCTGGAGCAAGACCTCCTAGAAAATTCATTACAGCCAACTGTTCTCTTTGGAGTCGCATTTGTTCAGCATTAGAAGAAATAGGAAGGAGAGCATTCAATTCTTCATACATTCTATTAAAATCAGCAAAGTATTGATCAATAGAACGCCCTTTGCTCTCAGATCGGTGAAATTCCTGTGATAGTTCATATATCCTAGAAATATTGTTCTGGCCAGAATACAATACATCTAAGTACTCCCACAAGTCCTTGACTGTATCAATATGAGTTACCAAGTCTACAATATTGCTCTCCATGGAGTTCAAAAGCTGACCCATAAGACGTGCATCAATAACATCCCAATTTGCATCATTAGTAGGTTTAGTTTCAGTCAAGTGCATATGCTGATTTCTACCCGTCAAAACAAACTTAACAATCTTTTTCCATTGTTGAAAATTGGTAATACCCTCAAGCTTCTTGTCAGTAATTCGAGAAGATGAAGAGGAAATTACCTCAGTCGTCACGGTATCACTCTTTCCAGAACTACCATCAATTTTACTCGGATCATCCATCCTTAACAATTTAATAATCCACAAGAGCCCCAAATAATTAACTCCAAAATCTCCAAAATTCACCTAATCAGCATCGCATAAGTTCCGAAAAATTCAGAAACATTCCACAAACACATCCATATCTCGAATAAAGCGCTACCTACATCATTACCAAGCCTAATCAACAAATAACGCCTCAAAATTCCTGCTGTGAAGCTCAGTAACCATCAAGCCGCCAAAAAAATCAAACCTGTGGATCCTAACCGAGAGACATGGGTGCTGAATCTGGCTCACTGACAATGGACGATGCCTCACTGATGCTGGACGACCTCTCTACAAGATTCCACGACGATGGACAGCACTGGATTTGGACTTGCTGGCCTCGGTGACATTGGGTGACGTCTCTACATGGGTCGCTGGGTCTTGCTAACTCTAGATCTGGCCTTGCCGGGCCTAGGTGACGTCAGGCGACGCCCTGGCAAGGCTCGCCGGCCTAGATGACGCCCCGGCAAGGCTCGCCGGGCCTGGGCAACAGGAGATCTAAAGATTCCAGTGAGAAGAGGGTTGATTGAAGGGGGTTGGTTGGTGGTCGACGGTGGATGGTTCACAGCGGCAACTGGGGGTAGACGGTGGTAAGCGGTTGTTTAGGGTTTAGAATTTTTGTTGCTCTGATACCATGTTAGAGAGGAAAAGTTGATTTATTATTCAGCAAAATAACATATTTATACAATGGTAACCCAATAAACCCTAAGAGTTCTAAAGACCACTTTACCCTTGATACTTCTAACATATAGAAAATAACCGTTGAAAACAAAAACTTACAGGTGCAATGAGTTGCTTACAGAAAAATTATTAATTTACCAATGTAAGATTATTTACAAGTTAGTAAGGCTGCGAATGAATCTCATTCTGTTTCAGAAATCAATTTCTGATCAAAAATTGATTTTTATATTTCTGTTCATAGATGAGTTTCTGAGCACAATAACGCGTTTGATAACGACGCAAAATTTCTGTTTTCGAAACAAAATTTTGTTTGATAACGGCACAAAATTTTTTTCTCTCGAGTGGCCGGCAAGTAGATGGCAGGTGGATGGCGGCGGAGGATGGCGGACGGTAGACGGTGGCAGCGAGAGGCGAGCGGCGGGGGGAGGCGGCGGCGGCGGACGAGGATGCAGCCAATGCGAAAGATGGCAGCCGGTGACGGGAGAAGGACAGCGGCGAGAGGACGGCGGCCGGCAGTGGGAGACGGTGGCCAGCGGGGGGGAGACGGGTGGCGGCGGGAGGAAGGCGGCCGACGACGGGAGCGGTGGCTGGTGGACTGTAGGCAGCGGCCCACAGCGGCCGGCGGTGGGAGGCAGGAAGAGGGCGACCGGTGGCGGGAGACGGTGGCCGGTGGACGGCAGCCGGCGGTGGGAGACAGCGAATGGCGGGCGGCAACGACAGGAGGGCAGCCGGCAGCAAGGGACGGTGGCCGATGGATGGCGGCCGATGGACAGTAGTCGGCGGCGGGAGATGTCGAATGGCGAGGGGCGGGCGGCGACAAGAAGAGGGCGGCCGACGGCGGGAGAAGGTGGCCGGTAAACGACGAGCGGCAACCCACGGCTGTCGGCGGTGGGAGACGGGCGGCAGCGGGAGGAGGGCGGCCGGCGACGGGAGACGGTGGCCAGCGGGAGGAGGTGGGCAAGAGCGGGAGGCGGGCAGTCGATGGTGAGAGACGGTGTTCGGTGGACGGCGGGTGCCGGCCCACGGTGGCCGGCGGTGGGAGGCCGGCGGCTGGCAACGAGAGACGGTGGCCAGCGGTGGAAGGCGGGTGGCAATTGGAGGCGGGCAGCGACAGGAGGAGGGCAGCCGGCAGCGGGAAACGATAACCGGTGGACGACTGGCGGTGGCCCATGGCAGCCGGCGGTGGGAGGCAAGCGATGGCTAGAGGCGGCTAGCAAGAGGAGGGTGACCGACGGCAGGAGACAGTGGTCGACGTTAGGAGGCGAGCGGTGGTAGGAGGAAGGCGGCCGACAGCGGGAGAAGGTAGCCGGTAGACGGCGGGTCGCAGCCCACAGTGGCCGGCGGCGGGAGACGGCGAATGGCGAGAGGCGGGCGGTGACGGGAGGAGGACGGCCGGCCGGCAGTGGGAGACGATGGCTGGTGGACAGTGGGCGGCGGTCCATGACGGCCGGTTAGGGGAGGCAGGCGGCGGCAGGAGGAGGGTGGCCAGCAGCGGAAGATGGGGGTGGGAGGCAGGCGGCGGTGGCAGGAGGAGAGCAGCTAGCAGCGGAAGACGGTGGTCGATGGACGACGGGCGACGGGCGGCGGCGGGAGACAATGAATGGCGGGAGGCGGCGACCGGCAAGTGGACGGGGATGGGCAGCAGGTGGGTGACCGATTAGTAGAAAGAGTGAGCGATGAGAAAAAATTTAATTTCTTATTTCTGTTCCAGAAATAGAAAATAGAAAATTTTAACTTCTGATTTTTCTTCCAAACCTATTTCTGAAACAAAAATTTATTCAAGAAATAGAAAATGAAATTGCATTACCAAACGGATTTCTGTTCCAAACATATTTCTAGAACAGAAATAGAGAAAAAGAATGGTTATCATTTGCAGCCTAAGTTACCAACAACGTAAGAAATTTATTCTTTCAAAACAATATCGAAATTTAGTGCGTAAATGATAACCATTCTGTTTCTGGAATAAATTTCTGGCAAGAAATAGATTTTTTCTATTCCCTACACGAGTTTATGAATAGAAATACGCGTTTAATAACGCCTTGATTTCTCTTCTCGGAACAAAAATTTATTTGATAACGATACAATATTTCTCCTTCCCGCGCTCTTTTTCATTCATCGACGGGCGGCAGGCGGGGGGTGGCGGCGGCATGTGGCGGGAGGCAAAGGCGAGCGATGAGAAGAGTTTCTATTTCTCTTTTTGTTCCAAAAACAGAAAAGTAGAAAATTCTTACTTCTCATTTTCGTTCCAAATTTATTTCTAGACTAAAAATTTGTTCCAAAAATAGAATAATGACATTGCATTACCAAACGGATTTTTGTTCTAAACCTGTTTCCGTGAAAAGAAAAATAGAAAAATAAAGAAATATAATGGTTATCATGTGCACTCTTAATATCTATAAATGAAATAAGTTACTATAGCAAATTACAAATAATTTGAGGAATTTACTAACACAAAATTCAATAGTAAATTATCGAACGTTTTTTCAAAAAAAAATCATTGGAAATAGAACCTTCCCATTTAAATTAGTAAGGTACCTAGCAATTTACCAAATTTTCAAGTCAATAGTAAGTTATCATACTGTTAAGCAATTTTCCATTAGTAATTTTCTCACTTGGTTGGCACGCTGCTTTCCCAAAAGCGACCGCGGGTAAGTTACTAAGGCTCCATTTGATCTACGGAAAATGAATAATTTAGAAAATATTTTCCTAAAATGATCGCTTGTATGACTTGAAATAATTAGTCAATGAAGAATATTTGCATTATAAATTACAATTTATATCTAAATATTTTTATAGACAATGAAAATATTTTTCATTCGTTCATTTTTATGAAAATGTTTTCTAAATCATATTTTTTCGAAACAAACATATCTTAATTCCCCATAAGTTATCATGTTGTTTAGAAATTTTTCTATTGGTAATAAAATCTTACTACTAAAGTTAGCAACTTACATATTTACTTAATCTTAGCTGTACAAATTGTAAATTACCACTAAAATTAATAACTCACTAACATAATTGCGTTTCAAAGTATTTAAATCCCCACCAAAGTGGAATTTAACATGTAATTACTTTTAATTTAGTAATAAAAAGTTATCACTAGAGGTGAACGATTTTCGGTCCAGTCTGATCCCACTCAAGAATCAGGAATCGGACTGGAAGGTCTGGTTTCCAATTTCTAGAACCAAGGATCGGACTTCCTTGTCTTGGAATCTGATTCCCAGACAGTCCAATAGAACCGGTTGATTTACAAATAATTCCCGTGCATAAGAACAAAATTTTAGTGCTGATTTAGTGCTGCTTTGGCAGAGATCCTTTTGGCATGATGCTTTAATATCTATAATGATTAACGAATTTCTGTTCCAAATCTATTCCCGTCCAATGATGATTTAGTGCTGCTTTGGCTGAGATCCTTTCAGCATGATCATATTTCAGCATTTTCTACGTCATTTGGGAATCCATGAAGCTAAAAAAGTCTTCGATGCACCAAATAAGCACAAAGGGAGCAAAAGTTTTGCTCTCAAATAAAAGCACAAGGAATATGCGAGATTAACAAAAGCACATAGCACGTGTGAGAAGGTAAGGGAAATAAATAAATAAATAATCATCGATCCGATTCCCCTCGAAACGGGGGACCAGACCAAAAATCACCAATTTCAATTTCATGGAACCGGGAACTAGACCGACGCTCTCGAGAACCGCCCATAACAGGCTGGTCTAATCCGGTCCGGGCGATTCCCGGTTCGGTCAATTGTGTTACTCACCCCTAATTATTACCAAAGTAATCAATTTACCGTCAAACTGGCGACGTCAAAGTAATAGTAACTTGTTAAGCTTCTTGCAAATTTACTATTCAAAACTAAATTTAAGCACTACAAATAAATAGTTAGGGATGAAATTAACAACTTACCAACATAGGTCCACCTTTAAGGTGGTAACTAATTCACGATGGTAACACTTAAAGGTCGTCAATATCAGTTTTCTACTAGGATTTTATAGTTGTAAAATTGTTATTTTGTCGGTAAGTGAAAAACGGTTAACCAATTCTACGGGTAAAGTATGCAAGCAATTCGGAATCTACTATCAAAAAATTGCATCCACTTGTAAAACACGCATGTATTTTTTAAATCTAAGTGGGTAATTCAATATGGTAAATCGATTATTATATCATAATGTTATAAATGTTGATCCTCCTAAAATCCTAAACGATGTCAGTAAGCCACTAAGAATTTATAGAAGTAAAATAGTTATTTTTTTCGTAGGTACAACCATTAACCGACACCACTGGTAATGTATGTAAGCAACTCTTAACATACTGGCAAAAAAAAAACACAGACCTGTAAATTTTAAATAAATTGATAATCTACTCGAAATGTTAAGGATGGGAAAATTGTTGTTTCACGGGTAACGTACTAACAAGTGACCAGACTAATATGTTGTCAATGACTTTTTACTTAGCAACGTTATGTTTCAAATTTACTATCCGTTTTTAAAATTTACCCTACCCAAAACAAATTGGCTTACACACCAACTCCCGCTCCTTTAGCATAGGAGGCTCCAAAAGAGTACATCTCATCTCAAGTTCATCATATTCAGCGTGACCACGAAGGAATTATATGTTAGATGTCATATTTTGTACGTCATTACATATAGGTTAGTTTTCATATAATGAAGAAAAAACCGACAAAAAAAAATACATTTAGTGGAATCTGTGCTAAATAGAAATCATATTAGGATTGATGATGTGATTTTCTAACTAACATTGCAGATGTTTACGTTATTCTGAGGTAAATATATTCTCCATATCTTGCAATTTATTTAATACTTTGATTATTTGGTGTTAATTTGATGATTTGTGTACCCATATGATCGCTTAACATTTTAGGAGATAATAAAATTAATACAAGCCGTATGCTAAAATATTTTCATGAAAAGAAAAGGTACCGAAATGGCGTTAGAGTAATTTAGCGTAATCAAATTCTCGTACTCATAATCTCTGATTTGTAGAAATAAAGTATATTTTTTGATACTTTATTTGGACTTCTAATCGACCTTTAGTGATGAATCCCGATTGAAAATAATTTTCATATTAAGAATTTGAATCATAAGTTGCGAATTAGTATAAACTTGGGAGAGCCTAAGTTAAGTCTAGACTTAATAATTTATTAGCCGAACTTATAGGTGGTGCACCCTGAGATAAGGTAGCAACGCTAACAAAATAAAATAAATATAACTTGATGAGGTTTTCATGACATGACATGTACCTCTTCTCTTTTTCCTTTTCCTTTTCTTTCCCTTTGCCTCTCTCTCTCTCTTGCTTTTCTTTTTCTCTTGGATGTCCACCTTTTTTTTTTTTTTAACTAAACAGCTTTTTGAGTCAAAAGGTCAAAAAGCACAAATATCACGGCTCAAAATATTTAAAAGTGTCCTTAACTTTCTTTTGTGGAATTGGCCCCTAAATTATGTACTTTCTTCTTTCAGTTGGACCTTTCATCAAATTTTTGGATGCAACTGACAAGGGTCGCGACCTCGGCTAGTTCGGTCGCGTCTTGCACCCGCTCACGATTTTCTTATATAACACAGGGATGAGATGTTATCTGGGTCAGCTAGGCCTGAATTTGGTGATGGATGTCAAAGCCTGAGCATGGGCGGTGACGCCTCAAGTGTTGCCATCGTTCCTTCGACCTTAAGGTACGATTTTTCTCTTTATCTTTTGTTGGTTTTTTTATTATTAAAATTTTTTTTTGGGTAAGGAATTTATTATTAAAGTTAATACCACGAAAAAATCCTAAATTGGTACACTTGTGACAAATTTACCCCAAATTAATTTTCTGATCACTAAAAACCCCACACTGGTACACCTGTGACAAATTTACCATCCGTTAATTTCCGTTAAATTAACTATAAAAATGCTTAGTTAAATGACAAGTGACAGTTTACGGATGTACCAATTTGAGATTTTAGGTGTACTAGCTTGTTATTATTTTTGTATTAATTAAATTTAATAGATGGTAAATTTATCATAAATGTACAAGTTTGAGGTTTTTGGTGGTCAAAAAATTAGTTTGAGGTAAATTTATCACAAATGTATCAATTTAAATTTTTTGATAGTCAAAAAATTAGTTTAGAGTAAATTTGTCACGGAGATATCAGTTTGGAATTTTTCATGATATTAATCTTTATTATTATAAAGCTTAAAAAAACAATTTTTCTTAATTTTTCTGGAGTGACCTATATGAACACTTAACACTCCTGCCCCTCACTTTTCCCTCCAACTCTCTCTCTCTCTCTCTCTCTCTCTCTCTCTCTCTCCTTCCTCCTCCTTTTTCGTTCTCTCTCTAGCTGCTTTTTTACCGTGGTCGATCACGACTTTGCAAGTCTCTGCATCCATGGCTATGATGACTCGTCCACCTTTGGATGTAATCAACCCTCTTTCCATCTC